ATCCCTCCTTTAGACACCTGAAGTAGATACCAATTTTCACATGAGGAAAGTAAGGCATGGAGAATAGTTTAGTTCCACCTCTGGGTGCTTTCCCTCTGAACCATACTTCTCAGGATGCCATTCTCCTCAGGCACATGCGAACTATAAATGACAGCAGAGTACAAGGCTTTAGAGATGTGTGTGACTAGGTGCTGTCACGCTACCCTAAACAGCAGCCTGAATGAAGACGTGTGCTTTAACATAATGCTTTAAAAAGAATATCTCATGAGACGGATTCTCTATTTGATATACAGTTAGAAATCACCTTTATTTCACAAGACTGTAAAGTGATTTTGAATACAAAATGACTATTGGGCAAATAGTGAATAACGTCAAGTTGTAGGGACCAACTCAGAAAGTCACACTACAATTTGAGCAACTATGCCTTCATGGTTTAAAATACGGATTTCTTATGCAATGTGGGACAATACTTATTTCCTCTGGAATTTCAGTTGTACGTGTATTTGTTCCTTTCAGTTTTAGCATCACAAATCATTCTGGCTTGGAATTAGAGATCATGTTTTGAGGGCAGGAAGAGACATGCACGTTGTATTGGAGTTTTGATGTATTATATAATTATATAATTTATTATTATATGATATGCTCTCATCCTATAATTTGGGCTTTAAAAATAATCTTCTGCTCTAAAATTTCTCACAAGGTCTTTCTTAAAACTCCCTCATTCACCTCTAGAGTCATCAGCAGTGGTTCTAACTTGTTGGCAAGTGAACCAAGTCTTATCTTTTTCTCTCCCTGAATTATGTTCAGAGTAATTTTAAACACTTGCCTTGCAGAGGAAATAAACTTCTCTATTCTTAGGGAAAACTGTTCAACTAAAAGATCTGACAATGTAATTCTCAAATGAGTTTAAAGAATTTATGACTCAAATGAATCTAAATTCTAATTTACCTTTTACTTTGAGCTTGGCTGCTGTTTTCAGTTAGTAGCATTTTGTACATTAATTGCTTCCTTCAAATTTCTGTCAGCTTTATAATAGGTTAAGTGATACTTCTTTAAACCCCACTCTGTTATGCATTTGAAGACACATAAAAGATCCATCTAAGTTTTCCTAAATCTCTCATTCTAGGATATGAGTTTCTTAATTGCTTTATATTTATATCCCTAGACATCATTTCTGACTTTTAGACTATTAACCAAAAATATAATGAATTCAAGACAGTCCTTACATGTCTAGATTAGTTGGGCATGGTAAAGGCTTTATGTACCTTCCATCACAGAGACCGAGTATCTCCGAATGAAATAGAAAAATAAACAGGTAAGAAAAGAAGAAATAAAAATGTCTTCATTGTGGATATGATCTTATTTGGAAAAGTCTAAGGAATCTGTGAAAGTCTACTATGATTAATAAGTGAGTTTAGCAGGGTCACAAAATATAAGCCCAATATTCAAAAGTAAATTATATTTGTATATTCAAGAAACAAACCATTAGAAACAAATTTAAAAATCAGCACCATGTCCAGTAACTTGAAAAAACATGAAATAGAGATAAATTTAACAAACTGTATGTCTGAATGTTGTAGTGTATTGCTGAAAGTAAAAAAAAAAAAAAATCTAAATAAATGCAGAAATGCACCATGTTCATGGATTTCCATGAACTATTTCCACAAATAGATCTAGAGAGTCAAAGCAATCCCAAATCAAACATCAAATGGGCCTTTAAAAGAAATAGATGAGCTGATTGTAAAATTTATGTGAAAATGTAGGTAAATTGGAATAGTCAAAATAGTTTTGGAAAGGATATACAGAGTTCGAAAATTCACACCACCTAGTTTCAAGAGTGATTACATAGTAATCAAGGCAGTGTGGTATTCACACAAGGATAAGTACATCAGTGGAAGAGATTGGAAAAGTCCCAAAATTCAGCCCACAAGTATCTAGTCAACTGATTTTCAACAAATATGCTAAAGTAAATTCAATGGCACTAATGAATAGTCTTTTCAATAAATGGTGTGGAAACAACTAGTTATCCATGTGGAAAATGATGAAGCTCCACCCTTACCAAATATTGTGCATGAAAATTAATTTGAAAGATACAGATCTAATACAAATTCAAAACATTAACACTTCAGTAGGACAATAGGAGAAATCTTAAAAATCTTACATGAGGCAAAGATTTCTTAGATAGGAAAAAAAAGACACAAATCTTTTAAAAAGTTATCAATTGAACTTCCTTGGAGTTCAATTTATAAGACACAATTAAGAAAATTCAGAGGTTGGGGTGCGTGGCAGGATCCCAGGGTCCTGGGTTGAGCCCTGCATAGGGCTCCTTGCTCCCTGCTCAGAGAGCCTGCTTCTCCCTCTGCCTGCCACTCTCCCTACTTTTGGTCTCTCTTTCTCTTTGACAAAATAAAATAAAATAAAATATTTTTTAAAAATTTTAAGGGGCCCCTGGGTGGCTCCGTGGGTTAAGCCTCTGCCTTCAACTCAGGTCATGATCTCAGGGTCCTGGGATAGAGCCCCGCCTCGGGCTCTCTGCTCAGCAGGGAGCCTGCTTCCTCCCCCCTACCCCCCCGCCTGCTGCTCTGCCTACTTGTGATCTCTCTCTCTGTGTCAAATAAATAAAATCTTTAAAAAAAAATTTTTTAAAGGAAAAAAGAGAAAAGAGGTTAAATCACAGACTGGGAGGGGATAATAAATCAGATACACAGGCATTATTTGTATGTAGGTATGTATCTATGTGTGTTTATTACATACAGTATACATAGATAAAGATATGCATCCAGAATGTATAAAGAACTATTACAGCACAATAATAAAAAGCTGGATAACCCAGATTTTTTTTTAAATTGGCAAAAGATTTGAAAAAATATTTCACTGACAAAGATATAAGAATGCTCAGTAAGTGCATGAAAAGATACTTAAATGTCATTGATCATCAAAGCATTGGAATTAAAACCATTATAAAGGTACTATTAGATATTCAGAGGAATAGCTAGAATTCTAAAAGACAGTACCAAGTGTTGGTTAGGATGTAAAGCAACTGTAACTTTCCTGCATTACTAGCAGGACTATAAAATGGTATGACCACTTTGAAAAATAATTTGGCAATTTCTTTAAAATTTGAAGATACTGTAGACTGTCAATTCCACTATTAGTTATTTGTGTAAGAGAAATGAAATTTATGCCCCCCCCAACAACTTGCACACAAATGTAACTTTGCTCATAATAACCAAAATCCAGCCTAAATATCCACCAATAGAAGAATAGATAAGCAAATGTAGTACATCTGGTACAATGAAATACTATTCAGTAATAAAACAGAATGAATTACTGATACTTGCATCAGCATGGATAAGTCTCCAAAACATGGTGAGCCAAAGAAGTCAGACACTCTATGATTCTGAAACTCTAGAAAAAACAAATCTAATATGGGCCCAAGGTGAGGATGATTTCCTAGAAAGGGAAATGGTATATTTTAGGTTGATGGAAATGTGTATTTTTACTGATGTGGTGATTACAGGTTATGCGTGTGGAACTTATCAAACTGTGCATTTAACACTGATCATAATAATTTATTATGTGTAAATTATACCTGAATAAGGATGAAAATTATATAATTTATAAACTCTACTTATACTTGATTCCCAAGGGAAAATAACTCAAATGGTTAATGAGCACCCAAAAGCGTAACTTCAAAGTCCTGTTTGGAACTATATAAAAATACTGCTATAAAGACAATTAATTTCTAGCATCTAAGCATAAAAATTTTGACTTGTAGTGCATTTCTACAGAGAATGGTGGTGTATTTCATTTAAACTTATGATCCAATACAGCAACATACTATAATCCAAGAACAACATCAGTTAGCTGTAGAAACATGATTAAACAAAGAGTCACAACCAAAATAATGAAATTAAATGATATGTAGAAACTAAATCATGTGTACTACTCATATATTTTTAGAAAAATAGAACCATATATTAGTATGAAAGATGTTAAGAGAATAGTAATTTGTTAAGCAAGACATAGTATTGATGAAGTTGTATCCTAAGTGATTGCAGCTTGCAACAGTGAATAACTTCCTTGCTTTTATTTTATACTTTTTCTTACAGTAATTGATTTGAACAGATATTTCCCTTTGTCCCTTTATTTCTTGAAACCACACCTTTCTTCATAGTATCTCTTTCTCCCAAACTATGACCTCTTTTTATTTTAGTTTTTCTTTTCTTTTTTTTTTAGGGTGTTTTTTGTTTTTGTTTTTGTTTAGTTTTTCTTCTAAACAAAAACCAAAACCTGTATTTGTTTCCCCTTCTTATTTCCAGAGTTATAGTAACTTAGCAGAAGTTAATGCCTCTTTATTTACTCACCTAAGGCATTCTATACCTCAGAATGTTTTTGAAGCAGTTTTCGCATTGTAAAAAGATCAGTATTAGGGAAATGATTCTCAAGTACAGCTGTACAAGAAATTAAGAGTTTGCTTCCACTTTGTAGAGTATCAAAAATTTGTGAAGTACTGTAGAATGGATTACATCTCTTTTGTCTTCTCCCAAAGTAATTTTTTTTTCCTTTTTAGAGAGAGCAGCATGCAAGTGGGGGAGTTGGGGGTGGCAGAAGGAAAAGAAGAGAGAATCTTGAGCTGGTTCCACACCCAGCACCCACTGGAGGCAGGGCTAGTCTCAAGACCCTGAGATCATGACCTGAGTCAGGTGACAGGAGTCAGAAAATCAGGAGTCAGATGCTTAACGGACTGAGCCACCCAGACACACCATTTTTTAGTTGTCCCTTACTTTTCCCCTTTCTTTTCCTTTAGGGTACGTCTGCAGTCCCCTGTTCAGTTGACAGCTAACCTCCTCTTCCATGCAGGCATACCATTTATAGTATATATGTGATACTCTCTTCTTGAGGCTTGACGGACCTTGATGAGCTATCAAGCTCAGTTACTTTTTTTTTTTTTAAGCTGGAGAATCCAACCATATTGGTCTCTTTTCACCTTCCTACAGATTTGTTATTGGGCGAGAAAAGCCAGGACAAGTGAGTGAGGTTGCCCAGTTGATAAGCCAGACGCTGGAACAAGAAAGGCGCCAGAGAGAGCTGTTGGAGCAGCACTACGCCCAGTACGACGCTGACGACGATGAGGTAGGTGGCGCTCACAAGGTCCTTCCTGCCTTTCTCCCCACTATGTTCCTCCTTTACAAAACTCTCTTTACCACGTAAAAGTAGGATTGGTTCTTTGCAGTTTCTCAGGGAGAATGTGTCTACATTCAAACTCACAGAAAAGAAATATTACATCTGTTATTAACTTATGAATAAAGTAATGGTATCCTGTTTACAGCATGAAGGCTTTGAGATCAAATAAGTCATGTTTTACTACACTATTAAAAGAAATTCACTGAAACAAAAAAAAAAGAGTAAAAACACTAACACATGAATAGTAACTGTCTTTATTGTTGGAATTTGGTGATTTTCTCTCTCTGCTTTGTATTTTTTCCATTTCTCCCCCAATTTTCTACAGTAAGTTTGTAACACTTTTTGGAAAAAAAAAAAACCAAAACAACAACAAACACAAAACATTTTGATCAAAAAACACACATGTACGTACACAAACACACACAGAAAAGTGCTAAAAACTGCTGGGTGTTTTCAGGTTTCTTTTTTCCAGGAAGAGAAAATCCTTTGGATCTGCTCGCTGTGATTTGTGCTAACATAACGCAGAACAAAGCATTTCCACCGCACATATCCCATAGAGCAGATACATATTGGAATAATTTTGCGTCCTGCTTTCTGTAGAAGATCAAGTAAATGAATAGAAGCTAACCCCCAAGTGAAAATGGCTCTCCGGAATCCTTGTGTGTTGTAATGTAATACAGATGCTGGTCTATTTCTAATGTAAATGCCAAATGTGCATTGATATAATGGGACAACATGCTTTATTATAAACATGTTTAAACATGTATGTGTTTCATATTTGCATGTCAAAAGACCCATCAATAATTTAATCTGAGTATTTCATACTCCATAAACATAGTAAATATTCAGGTAAAACATATTATTTATACCACCTGATATAAGGACAGTGCAACTTTATATGTTCAACCTCTACTCATCTGAATATATTCTTTTTCCAGAGCCATTTGTTGGTCTCTAGCCAGGACATAGTGAAGATTAATAAATAGACATTGAAATATTTTCATGTGTTTTTAGTCTGGAATGTTTTAACCCAAGTATATCTTAACTTTTTATGTGTTAGTAGTTCAGTGTAATTTATTCTCCATTCATTATAGTAGACAACTAAAAATGGTCTATCAGCTAAGTTTTGATTGGAGAATAAACATTACAAGGTCTTCACATGATTAAATTCGTCTCAGAATTCTGTTTAGTTGATTTAAGTTTTTACTTGCAGAGTCCATCTGAAATGGCAAGTATTTTTTTTACTATACTGAGATATAATGTACAAAAATGTTGCCTTGGTTTAGAAATTAAAAGCAATTTCCTCCAATATTTAAATTTTCATCTTAGCCTTCAGTTTCTCTGTGCTAGTGTTTTGTATTTTATCAGAGACACTGATTTGCTTGGGTGGCCAGCCTATTTTTAGGATTATAGAATCATTCTCTGCAGGTTTGGTTTTTACCTGCTGGCTCTGCTAGAAAGAATTTGGGTGTGAGATTCGGGGGAGTTTGGGTGACATCAAGTGGAAGAAGGTGAGGGGGCCAGGCTTTGCAGTCTGTGGGCCTCCGTGTCTTTGGCTTTGAGATTGGGCTAAATTTCTGCACTCTTTCTAGCTTTTAATGTTCTGTGAGTGTGTGAACTAAAACATCAAGTCTCAAAAGGCAAGAGGGAAAATAAGATAGTTCTTTAAAGCTCTTCCGGTGAAAATTTTAGATCGCCTACTCCGTACTCCATGCTGCTTCCAGTTATGTTGAGGAATTGATCACATTCAGTCACAGAGGTTTCAACTCAAGCCCCTAAAGGTTTTTGTTTGTTTGATGTAATGTTTTCTCTAATTTAGTAATTTGAGTCAATGCAAAATGAATATTTGTTACTCAACTTTTATACTTAGGAGCACATCATATGCAGTTTTGTTTGTTTGTTTGCCTGGTTTTTATGAGGAAAGCAAAGTTGGTTGTCACCTGAGCAGGTATTTTCAGGACTAAGAAAGGTAAATAAATATCCAGTGCCTGGCACTTGGCAAGATGCATTTCCCTACATGATTTCATGTAGTCTTTACAGCACACAGAAGAGATGTTTTTTTCTAGAAATGAAGCAAATGAGGCGTTTTCTAGTCATGTAGCTATAGTTGGCAGATTTTTTTTTAAGATTTTATTTATTTATTTGACAGACAGAGATCACAAGTAGGCAGAGAGGCAGGCAGAGAGAAGAATTTGACAGACAGAGATCATAAGTAGGCAGAGATGCAGGCAGAGAGAAGAGAAGCAGGCTCCCCGTGGAGCAGAGAGCCCAATGCGGGGCTTGATCCCAGGACCCTGGGATCACGACCAGAGCTGAAGGCAGAGGCTTTAACCCACTGAGCCACCCAAGTGCCCCCAGTTGGCAGATTTTTGATGGGAATAGGGTCTTCCTGTCTCCAAAGTCGGGACTCTACAACATATTGCTGTTTTTGAATGGGGTAGACTAAGGGGTCTGTCTTTGTTCGGGCACCTACAGAATAACTAGGTGACAAGAGATGTTGGAAAGAGGATTCCTGTGTTGGGTGATAGAGTTTCATATAATACTTAGGTTCTGTGATTCTTTATTCTGTATTTCTAATAATAGGGGAATTAAATACTTGGAGAATTATTTTATTCTCGGCAAATAATCTGTAAGTATCCTATGAAGATAGGGTTTAAGGGGAAGAATAATTGAGTGTATGATTTTTTTTTTTAAATTTGAGTTTAGCTTTAGGTTAAACTTTTTCTTCTATTTTCCGTTGTGGAAATAGAAATCATATGTTTGCTACTATGTTATTCCAAGTAACCTTCACTTTACTGAAAAGGTCAAGGAGACTTTCTCTATGTTTCTCTCTCATGCTCCCCTCTGACTTGTATTTCTCTCCCTTTCTTGTGTGTTGCCAAAACATGCTCAATTAAAACCAACTGTTAATATTCTGTGCATAGGAGAGATGAAAGCTGTACAAATAATGAAAATTCACTCTTGTATAAACACTTTATTTAAATTCACTTTTTACTAATACTACCAGATATTGTTAAATCAATTTGAGTTCTCTGTCCCTATTTTTTATCTATTCTCTTTCTCTCTGTTAATGAAAAGTAAAATGTCCAAGAGACATAATAGAGGTGAGAAGAACCAATAACCATTGGTTATGCAATGGGTAAATGATCCTGAGTTAATTTTATATGTAATTGAACAATGTATTGATTTACGTGTATTTGTTAATCCTGAATTGTGTAATCAATCACTTGGCTTCTCACTTTTCTTATCATCTATGGAATCATCTTGTGATTTCAAAGTTAGAATCATTTTTATTTCACAGTATCCCCTGTGACATTCCCTGGGCCAACTAGGAAAAAACCTCTCATTAAATGCAGAACAACTGAGTTCATCCAACTAATTTCCAGAGCCAGCGCTTAGATCAGCATAGTCTACTGAGGGATAGATAGCTTCTGGTTTTGGTCAAATCATCCAAGGTTGATTCTAACTTGGAACGTCCCATTGATAGAAGGGAGCTGCTTGCTCGAACTGCCTATAGGGAAAACATTGCAATGTGAGAAATATGTCCAAAAATTGTGAAAGTACAGTAGTTCTCTATCAAAACCATATTCAGGAATAAGAATACCTTATCATGCATTGTGTGTGCTTACATGTAGCCGTTCTGATGATTTAGGACATTGTAAGTTGTACTCCAAGAGAATTTACAATATATAGATAATCCCCAAACTCTATTTAAATTTCTACACTTTCTGGTTTTTTTTACCCCCAAATATTTAAACTAGAGGAGTTTACAGTAACCAAATTAGTTTTAATTTACATTCCTGTTTCTGTTTACTCTCCATTAAATATTATGACTTTAAAAAAAAAAAAAGTTAAAAGGGCTTTGCCCAAAGGCTGAAGAATAAGGGGAAGGATCCTGTCAGGAAGAGAAAGATTAAATCTGAGCAATTGAAACATTTAAGATGTAGATCAGAATGTATCTGTAATTAGCAATTGCATTTCTGGATAATAGAATTATTGTTCATTTCTTTTTTTCTTTCTTTCTCTTTTTAAACAATCTGGAAGGTAACGATGGAGGATTTCAATAAGCCCCTCACACAGTCAACACTATCCCACGAAATTCTGGGGGTATGGTAAATTTTTCAACTAGATTTTAATTTTCAATAACAAATTTAATCTCCTGTCATACTCCACAATTACCAATGTTTAGCCTTTTAGTGATGGGATGTTGTAATTCTGGTATATGTTTTGTGTAGTATGGGTCATGTATGTAAGTTGTGGGTTTATGTTTCTATCAAAGATCATTATGCAGCGTGAAATACAGTCTGCTCACACTAGAAATGAAGTATGAGCTGGTGCTGTAGCACGTTTTTGAATTAGAAAATGCATATAGCCGTTCACATTAAAATAAACTATTTTATATGCACTTTGAAATTATAGGATTATTTTGGTTTGCTTCTTTAAATATGCTTTTAAAATATGGTAATTATTACATTTTAAAGTCTTAGATTATAGATGGTATTTCAAAGTCTCTTCGGGCAGTAGTTTATAACAAGGTTAATCATCACTCTAGAAACTGAGGCCCCTTCTCTTAAAATATAATTTAAGCTCACTTTCATAATTTTTTTCATTACTGCAAATTAATATCATTAAAACTGTATCATGAGAACATTAGCTTTTAGAATCGTTTAAGATATTAAATACAATTTAGAGCAGCTACCTACATGGATATGCATTTTTATTGCTTGTGTTAACATGTAATGATTAGAGTCAGAAGTACAATGGAGCTGTGGTTTGCATAAGTGTTAAATGGTTCATAAGAATATAATTTTTAGGTGAAAAGCATTAAAGGGATAACATTGAATTTGACTCATGCTGTTTGCTGTTCCTTGTTGGAAGCAGCTTGTGTTGTGTGAACAAGAGATTGCAATTATTATGGATGGCCTTTTAATAACGTGAATTGACTTTATACTGTTCATAATGTTGAGAAACTAAGAGTGGGAGGCATTCTCCCAGTTCTCAAACGTGTGTGTTCTAGCTGGCACTGGAACATCAGTGTATTTTCTACCCTTTATCCTTGGGCTGCTCTCTTTAATGGGGAAAAACCTTCTTTAATTTGTGTTGTCAACCATTTTAGAGCACTGTGGCTGAATTGCAAGGAGTGTCTGGCAACAGCAATAACAATAACAACTATTTCCTTAAGGTTTGTTTGTTTTTTGTTTTTTGTTTTTTTGGTGGAAAATAATACTTATATGCACCTTTCTGCTTCATGTGTGAAATTAAATATTCCATGTTTCTTATTAACTGGCACTGTGCTCAAAGAACTTCTCTAGAGCTGTGTGTTCTGTGTGTTGAATAATAGTTGGAAAAATTATCATTTGAAAATAGTATTTAATTCTGAGATATGGATGCAGGTCCTGCAAGTTGTGATCACTTCCTAATGTTTAACCCTGGATGTTGTTAACCCTTAACACTTTAAATATTTTGTGATTCATATTAAAGGGGAAGAAAAAGATACCCAATAATAAGGCTGTACGTGTATACAATACAGTGTATATCTTGTTTTTAAACCCAGTGAGTTTTTTTTAGAAAAGAATCTGTTAATACAAAGTTCTTCATTTTTCAAAAAACTAAGCACACATATATTTAAATTATAATGCTACTTATTTATGTGATTTATATGGTAGACATAGCGAAAGGTCTAAAAAAAACTATAACACTTCAAATAATAGAATAATTCTCACTATCTTTAACTGTCAGTAACAGAAATAGAGGAGCTTAAAAATGGAAATCAAGCTTAAAATGGAGATTCAATTATGGTGATGGGAGGAGCCTGAAGAATAGGAGAAATATAAAACCTTTTTAAACAACTTTATAGACTCCAATTTGACTGGATCTTTAAAATCATTAAATTTAATTACATCCTTTAGTTTATGATCCCAAAATCTATAGTACTGGTCATTGTCATTGAAACCCAGAATCAAGATGTTTGGAAAACATTTAGTTGAAGACTGTGTATTCATGCTTGATCTAGGCATTGTACATGTACACAGACATACACACTAGTCTAGGCATTGTACATGTACACAGACATACACACAGACACATGCACGCACGCACTATCACCTTGTGGTAGACATCATCCCATACTTGAAGAACCCTCTTTAGAAATATTCTTTGTATGTGAAAACAACATTATTTATGATATTGAGCACAGACAGGAAGATGGATAGTGTCAAGGGAAGATAGAGATTAGAATAGAAACCAAGGAGGGCACCTACTGCATGGAGCACTGGTTGTGGTGCATAAACAATGAATCTTGGAACATTGAAAAAATAAAATAAAAATTTTTAAAAAAAGGAAAAAAAGACACCTTTGCCTAGATAATGTCATATTTTTGTAGCTCATTTTTTTAATATTGTTTATCGTAATGCAAGTGATTTGAATATGTTTTCATGTTATTTTCTTTCCAACTACCACATTGTGATGATATTATTCATGAGTGAGATATAAAATACTAAATAAAATCCCATCAAAGTCTGCTATGCCGTTAAATTCCTCTGAGGGTATGGACTTTGTACATCCTAGAAATCATGCTAGAACAATTTTATATTACAGTGATTGATCATGGAGTTTGAAGTGTTTGAGAGATGTCACAGAAATAAACACAAATGTCAGCATTTTTCCAACTTTAAGAACATTTATAACTTGAATATAATTTTTTACCAAAAAGTTATAAAATGCAGAAAGGCACTGTGGGAGATGGATCTTATCAACCTTACTTTCCAGTGGGCCGGAAGGATTCTGTGGTGTCCCCATGCCTTTGCTCCTTTGGTCTTCTCTTCCTGGAGTACCATTCCCTAAACCCATTCTTGGTCGACCTTGTGTGCCTTCAAATCCTGTTCACTTTTTGGGTTCAATTTAGTTTTCACATGTCTTTTCTACAAAGCCTTCTTGGACTTTCTCAGCTGAGCTGGGGACTCTTTTCTGTATGAGTCAACAACAGTACTGTGTGTGTCTCTCTCTATCATCATTTACCCATAAATATCCCCCACTAGCTTGTAATCTCTTCAATGACAGGTTTCAATAGCTAGTTGATTTTTAATACACACCACCATGAGCACAGCACTGGGCAGACAAGAGGAAACCAAGAAATTGAATTGAATTGAAGCACTCAAAGGTTGCTAAGATGAAAACTGGAGAGTAGAGTTAAATGAGAATAAAATTTAGTTAGAAACATAATCTGAGATAGTGAGGGAAGAGTGACACAGAGTACATGGGTAAAAGAAATGTCAGACCTGGCAAGACTAGAGATGGGAGATAGGGATTGAGGAATAATCTGAACTTGTCCTTTGGCACTTTAGGATTTCACTCCTTTCTTTGGATTTTTGCTTCCGTATCTTAATTGTTTTTGAGAAAATGTGAATTTGCAAGAAGACCCTATCTCTATCACACTGCGCCAAAATTGTTGGCATGTAAAACCAGAAAAAAATGAAAATACATATTTCATTCCTTGAAAACCTTTGGATCTTTGAAATAGTAATTTGGTGACTCACATTGGCACGACCTCTTTTTAGCCATAACTGAATAAACATACAATAGAAACAGTGTTGTTGAAATGGTCTAAGTACCGTCAAGATCAATATTACATAGAGAGCCATCTTCTGCCCAGTAGTCATCATAGAAATACATTTTCATGAGCAATAAGGACTAAATGGTGACCTGACCAAAGACCCCAGTGTTCTAAAGCAGCCTTATTATGGAGGCTTAGCAGGTTTGATAAGGATTCCATTTATTTTAAACTGATATTGATGCTAGTAAGGGTAGTGGTAAAAACTCGTAATGGATTTCTGGAATTCCAGTCCTTAAAGGGGCCTTAAAAAAATCATTTTATTGACATAAAATTGGCATGGAGTAAAATGTGTAGATCTTAAGTGGATAACTTCATTGTTTTATCATTATATAATCCATGTTTCAGACATTAAAGTTAACATTAATGAGGGATAACATATATAATAAAATGCACCAATTTCAAATGTATTCATGTGGGTCGACGGTTTCATGAATACTTTCATGAACAGTCAAGATACTGAACATTTTCATTACCTAACATAGTTTCCTTACAGAACTTTGCAGTTAACTCTCAGCCCAAATCAAACTATTGAATCTATTTTCTGACACTGTAGATTAATTTTGTCAATTCTAGAATGTCATTTGAATGGAACCGTAAAGTACACACTTCTTATTGTCTGCCTTCTTTCACTTTCATAATGTTACATTTATCCTAAGTATCCTGTATATTATGATGAGACTGTAATTCCTATTTCTTTGAGTTGCAGTAGACAAAGCCAGGGCCCAGCCAAAGTGGGATGTCTAGTTGGAGAACTCCGTCATAAAGCTGGAGTCTCATGGGCTACACTACTCTGGAAGATGAAAATAAATCTAATCTTCCAGGCCAAGGACTGCATGAGAAATTGCCAATATCAAACCTTTCGCTGGGTGGAAGGGAAGAAAAATTTTTGTCTTAGACATTCTGATCACAGCAGCCTGAACTTATGCTACCTTTCAGGAGAAACAAAAAAAAAGCATGTTCTTTCTTGAGCCATTCTTTTTTTTTTTTTTTTTTTTTAAGATTTATTTATTTGAGAGAGAAAGTAGGAGGAAGGACAGTAAGAGAGGGAGGAGAGAGAAACAACCAAGGGCTGGATGCTTAACTGACTACACCACCCAGTGCCCAAAGCCATTCATCTTCGATCAAAGCTTAAAAGTCAAAGTTTCAACAATTTCAAAGTACAAAACTCACAGGGAAGAACAAAAGGAGAGGGCCGAGAGAAAGTGAGAAGGCAGGGGAGAAAAAAGGAAGAAAGGAAAGTAAGAGAAGTTCCCAGTTATTTTATCAATAATACCGAACTGGAACAAATACCTCCAGTTGTATATAACTTATTCCAGAAGACAAAAATGAAAGTAGTGCAACTCTGATACCAGGAATGCAGTAAAATCTTGAGAATGTGAGATGTATTAGGTTATGAGGTATAATCTTGGTCCAAAACCAAATATTGATGACAAGATTTAATAGGTCCATCCTATTCATAAAAACAATGCCCCCCCCAAAACTAAATAAATAAAATATTGGCAAATCTTATCCAAGAGAATATAAAAGAGGTATTATGGTGAAATTGAGTTTAGCCAATAATGCAAGTATTAATATTTGAAAATCAGTCACTACTTGAATTTGACATCATACTGGAAGGCAAGAAGATGAAGTAAAATAAGTTGGAAAGGAAGAAATAAAATTGTTATTATTGCAGATGATATGGTTATCTGTTTGGAAAACCTCAGATATGCTTATGATCAATTATTAGAAATATTATAAAATTTTAGCAAATCTAAACACATAATTAATACAAAATATAGCATCTATTTCAATGTGCCTACAGAGAGAAAATATAACTATTTTCTAATTATTTCTATGTAATTATTAATTACTTTAGTAAAAAGGCAAAACCTTGTCTAACAAAACCTAGGCAAGACCCTTATGGAAAAAAAGAAATTTTACTGAAATATATGAAAGAAAACTTATATGGAAGGGTAAGAAACCATTTTCATGGATCAGAAGACTCAATAGTTTAATTTGAGTCAATTCTAAGTGTATTTATACATTCAATGCTATTCCAGTAAAAATAATTCTAAAGAATTTAAAAATGGAAGTTGGTAAGCTATCGCTACAATCTGTAGGAAAGAACAGTGCACCAGAAATAACCATGACATATAGCATGCCTTAGAAAAGAGATATTTATTATTAAACTGTAGAAATTTAGTCTCTGGAGCAAAAGAAGGAACAAGTTGGCCAAGGAGCCCAGAAACACCCCTCACATATATGAAAATTGGATTAGTGACAGATAACACTCTAGGTGAGTTGAGAAACGTTAGGCTTTTCAGTGAAGGAGACATGGTGAAATTGCAACCTCCATTTCAGTCTGTACCCAAAAGTTCACTCCAGGTGGACTGACTACTCAGATGCAAAATATAAAACTGTAACATTTAGAAGACATCATAGAAGAATATCTTTTTGACCTCAGTGTAAGAAGTGGTTTTGCTAATGTGAAACAGCTAAGAAAGCAAAACCATAAAAGAAAGGATTGAGAAAATTGGCTAACTAAAATTTAGAACTTCTGTGCGTCTGAAGAATACTTACATGAATGC